ACCTTCTACGTTTTCCTCTTGAGGGAACCACCTTCTGAGAGAAGACTTCAGGTCCCTGGGGTTGTTTTCCAGGATCTCTCATTAGTTGTAAAGTGATGGCAGCTGCTTTTGTAAGAAGGGAGGCAGACCTGAAAGGTACTTCCCTATTCACTACTCTTACTGGAAGTATCTGAAGAGCAGTAAGGTACCTACAGAGATTAGCTGCAGGGACAGCTGTCAGGTTTGAAATTGATAATCTATGTTATAGGTATCTTGCATTATGTTGATTGCTTCCAAGTGGATATTTAAGTATTTTTGAAATGATATCATTAGATTTAGAGTGGTTGGTGGAGATGGAAAACACAGAAGGAATACATTTCCATTACCTTCTCAAGATCAACTGCCATCTGAGCTTGGTGTTTCTGTGCTCCATCAAATACCCTATTAGGAAACTAAAATTATTTGTGTTTACCTGAGTGATACTTTTACAAACTCATATTTAATTACACGTAGCTAACTCTTTATAAATGCATATTAAAACCCAAAGAAATACTCCACTTTCAGTAATAAAGTACAGACTATGACATCAGTTGCCTATATAGCAGGTTCACATAACAGAAATTGGTGGAGGTATCCAAAAAGGATGTGAAGACAAACCTGAGCATTGCATCTAAAACCACTACACTTAATGGGAAAAGCAAAGCTCTGCTCTATCCTGCTTCAGAAATGAGTCTCAAGTTGCAGCCTAAATGAAAATGTAGAATCAGATCCATGACGTGTAACAATACCTGTCACATTGTCTGCTTCTTATTTTCCTCTTCATAGCTGGCCATCCACACAGCCAGCTTTTCCCTCCTACCTTGTCTGTGTCAGCCATCAATGCCTAAGTACGTTTAAGTAACAGAGTAAAGGACTTCCTTGAAATATTAACAATGCCCTTCTCTCTTTTTTACAAAATCCTGCATTCCTCTGGTGCTATTATTTTTATTACTATACACTCATTTAAAAGAGGATTTTTCATTCCTTCTCTCCTTCGGCTTTATTTCATACCTCAAATCATAATCCATTTTACCTGGGTACTAATCACATACTGAATGCCTTTACCTCTGGTTTCCCAGAAGGCTACAAATATTTTGTATCAGTGTTTTTCAAGCCATGGAACAACTGAGTTTTCTGGAAATTATCTCAGGAAAGCCAAAACCACCTCAATTTAAAGAAGCAGCAATGCTCCCTGATTGCAGCTGCAATTCAATCATTTCCTTTTGTTTCTGATGTGACCCTCCTGCCTTACAGAACATATTCAGAACAGTTATGAGGCATGGAGCCATTTGGCCACCGTTTTATTAATCAGCCATACTGTTGTAACACCTAGAGCAGAAACTGGTGTTGCGTTGTGCTAGGTGTTGTACAAGTGATTGTTTCTGACTGGCAGCAGATGAGCAATCACAGCAATCACAGCTGTGGCAGAAGCAGATGTTCCCATGCAAATAACCCTAATAAAAATGGTAATAAAGACAGGCAGATGATCAGTTTCTTAGCAGGATTGTTCCAGAGTGCTCTTCAAAAACCCATCTGTCTTTACAAATAACACCTTCCATTCATTTCTGATGACAAATAAGAATTGCATAGGATGAGAGCAACAGAAACTGAACGCAACTGATGAGAGACCAGCAGGAAGCTACTCCCATATTGTCCATTTAGGGAATGTAATTGCAGGTGGGTACAAATTGTAGCTTGATATATATTGGTGTTAATCCCTCTGGGCCACTGAAATATGCCTAGCCAGTATGATGTGACAATTAGGAGCTTTAAAGATACTGGATTCTGCCTCTACTTTGCCCTTCAAACTGCTGCACTCATGTAACCTTGTTAATTGTGCTCTTCCCTCACCTAATGTTACTCTGAGAATTGCACAGTAAAGCTGATCAATAGACACGGTCAGTTGCACAACAATTTTACATCAGGAAATCTGCTTCTCTACAGAGAAGTTCAGTTTGTCAGCAAGAACAGAAAGTGGGGTGTTTTTTCTTTATTACTGATTCACTCTTTTGCTTAATATCCTATTTTGCAAAGGCAGTAACATAAGCAGAGAAAAGGAAGCAGAAGAAACATATTCCCAATGTGCTGACATAAACCTATGCTGTTAAAAAAATAAAGCATTCATTCCCAGTGATGTACAAAATGTAACAAATGTATAGAATGGATGACAAATAACATCTTCAGAAACGGTTGTCTGAGGCTTAAAATCAAGTAGCACAGGAAAACAGACATACAGCCTACTCACAGATAACTCCTTCAGGGTATCCCCAGACCCTTCCCTGTTCCCAGTTCTTAAGCTAGCAGAGGAGCTGAAGGTGGGCATCACTGATAGATGTGTTTGCTTTATGCTTCCTGATGATAATTTTCAACTGTATTATATGTATTTATGGGACAGATATTACCAGAACTATGTTTAAGCTTTTCAACTTCGAGATTTGATACTTGCTTTAATTGCTCTGGTCAGGTTACCATACTTATAAAGAGTGAGAGCAATATAAATTGTAAGTTCCCAGGTATTTAAAATCTATTACATAGCAAAAATAATTTTCTATTCACTCTCTGCTATTTTGTTTTTCTTTTTATATGTCTGTATTTTGAAATAGTCCAGCAAATCCTATGATCCAATTTTCAACTTTAACACTCAGAACACAGAAACTGTTCTGTTACTGAACTTCATTACTCACCTGGTAGGATCCAACTGAAGCAGGCTAAGGAGACTTAAAACTCTGATTTCCAACCACATACATGACTGCAAGTGAGGCAAATGTGAGGGGCTGTGGCTTTAGATCTTTAGGAACAGAGCTGGGTCAGTTAACTGATTTTACTGGGCCCTCTCAAATGGTTATCATGCATTTCAGTCACTGACAATATTGAAGAAAGTATCCTAGACATGAAAAGTTGCATCAGGGACCCTCTAAGCTGCCCAGTTCTTGCAGCAGCTTTATTCTCCATGAATGCCTAAATACCTTTTCAGAATGTGAATATTTAAACACAGCAGAGAAACCGGCACAACAGGGCATGGGGTTACGTGGGAGACAGCTGGGTGGACTTTGATTTCGTAGTGCTGTGAACCTGCTTACAAATTCAGCTCAGAAAGAACCCGTGCAAAGAGTAAACCTCTTGACTATGTCACGGTTTCATCTACGTGGTTACTTGACTATGTTGCTAGTTCACCTGCCAGCTCAGCAATGCAGAGGATTAAGAAGCAGATTCCCTGCAGAGCTCTGTCTGCACTGAGGGTATTTTAAATGAGCATAGTCTAAACGGTGTTTCCTGCTTTCTTTTTCAATTTCTGTTTCTCCTATTCTTGCTTTTCACACCACAGTGTACAGTGCACTGTTTTCTTCCGTGTTTTAGTTGTCCTTTCCCTTCCTTCTTATCTTTTATGCTGCAGTCTGTTCTCTGTTGCATGCCTATCTCCATTTTCTCTCTCTCACACTCCTCACTCAGCCTCCTCCAAAGCATTGCCTGCAAACAACCAGTCAAAACAGTCAAGCTTATTCCCAAGGCTGAGCTGTGGAGGCAGTACTGCCATATCAGGTAGTTTCTCAGACACACGCTGCCACATCAAAGGAAACACAACCTCTCTAGCAATTAGTCCATTACAGGAGATGGACACTGCAACACCCTTCAGCTGATAGTTTTGCTCACCATCACCTGGCAGGAGAGAGCCAAGCCACATTCCTTGCCTGCAGAGTTATTCCTGCTGCTGAATGTTCTTCCTAAAGCCCTCTGTCTCCTCACTTTGAATTAATGGCTGAGGCAGAGTCGGCACCAGTCCAACTGCCTTAATTCAGTGAGGTGAGGTGGGAATGCGCCCAGTTTACAGAGATCTACCATAAGCAGACATCACTGTCTTTTGTACTATCTATAGAACTGATCTGGAGAGTACCAGAAAATAGTTCCTGTCTCTCCTGCTAGCCATCCATTTCAAAGGCTTTTAATTTCCTATTTCATGGAAGTTCAGAATGTTAAATTTTAAAAATGAAACAAATGGAAAAGTGTATCTTCACAGAGTCACATTAGCTATGGGGTCAATTGCTTTTTGCGTTCAATAATCAGTGCATGGGCTTCATGGATTACTGGCCTCACAACACTAAGCAAAGACAAGTTTGCAATTTTCTGGATTAAACCTTTCACTGCAGTTCAAGCAACCACATCCCTGTACAAAGCACTAGAGGAAATAATATTAATACCCCCTTATCTCTGAGAAGGGAAAAAAGCCCTCCTTCAAAGCTGTAAACATCAGGAGAATAACTGATTCCTGAAGTGAGTGACCCTGGGAACTCATGTAAAATGCCAGTAGTGGAAAAATTCAGCAGTGGAAATTAGGACGGCCTAAAAGTGAGGCCAAGGCAGTTTAAGATGGATCTGCATTGTCACGAGTGCAGCTGGGGAGTTGGCCAGGAAGCTGCTGCCCTGGGAAATAACAATGAGGTCCATAAAAGGGATGGAAAACGTATAGATGAGAGTTGCTGTAGGTGTTACAGACTTCCAAAGGGCCTTGTTGCTGGGGCTCACAGTGAGAAAGCGGTGGTTTTGCCAGGGTGATGAGGGTCAGTTATGCCACAAGGTGATGCACTGTGTTCACAAGAACACTGACTGCGTGGATTATAAGAAAAACATATGATAAGTTCACAGTGAATGGTAAGATTCAAAGTAACTTCAATATCTGTACTGATACTGAATATTTGTAGTGGTCTCAATGATTTCCCCGTATTCCCTCCATGTGACACTGAGAGGGGTAATGGAACTTCACAAACTCGATGTTACAAGTGTCTCTTTACTCATATCTGTTTTTTTCCATGCACTGGGCAGACAATCACATATTTGTGCGCACATCAGCCTATGTGACAAGGTGAACATAACCCTTTTTTTAGGTGTAACTCCAATATTACCACTTTCTAGTCAAGAATGTGCAGCAAGCGCCCTGCTGCAAACACAGCACACATCACTGTCCTGAGCATAAAGTGAAATCTTACCTATTACTTTTCCTAGGAATAGCGCCTTTGGGGAATTGAACTGAATATCAGATGCTGCTGGCAGGCTGTAACTCGCTGGAGGATAGTGATCAAGCTGGGGAAAGAGAAAAGAAAACGATGAGTGTTTAGAACAGATCTGCTTTCTTACACTGCTACAGAATCAAGTCTACTTGAATGGAGTTTATGCCACTGCTTACAACTCTCTCTGATATGGTCTGCTTTCATTTTGACAAAGGGAAAACAACAGAGAATACCCTTCCTTCCATACCTCCACAGTTCCCAAGGCCTGGAAAATACCTATATTGGACGTTTGTTTGTTCCGGTTGCTGTAGAATCACTTCAGCTAATAAACCCAACAGCATCAACACTAAACCAGCTTATTATTTTAATATAAGATTTCCATTTAGGACCTATGTTATTCCTGATGCTAGATTTACATAGCTGAGAGTCTGAGACTAATGCATGTGTTGGACATTCTCCTTTTCTCTTGGGAAAGTCATAAATTACTAAGACATACTTTTTTGTACCTTACATTTTATTATTTTCTTGTTGAAAATGTTATTATTTAATTGTGATAACAACTAATGAAACCCAAAAGATAAATTCAAGAATAATTAATTCAGCTAAATACTTTAATCTATAGGAAACTCATATTGCCCCTGATATGACACAACAATCACATTACATCAGCTTATATTTTCTTATTTTTTAACTATTTAACAGAAAGATGTGAAGAGAGAGGAATGAAATACATTGCCTGTGCTTAGTACCATGGCTATTAAGATAGTTCTGTGTGGCTCAATAGAGTTTTAAAGCTCACACTTGGTAAAGGTAATTGGGGTGAATTTTTATCTTTGCAGTTGTTATTTATTTTCTCAGCTTTATGTGTTTATTACACAAGCTTAAAGAGGCCAGAACAACAGCTGTTTTATTTTACGCTGGCCTTACCTTGGCACAAACAAGGACAGAGACTCATATATGAGATTTAAGACTTTGCAGGGTATAACAGGCTGCAGAAGTAATTCTGGAGAAACCACAGCACGAAAGGGCATACCATTTTTTCATGTATCTTTTTGCCATATTTCAGATTTCCAATTGTTATTACCTTGGATTACCTTGCTTTAATGATACTGCAAATGTTCAATTCAGCAAAGTAAATGAATGGCAGGCAGCGTAGAACTGAAGGGCTGAATTCCCTGGAGTACTGTGAGCCCATGTACTTGGACAGCCTACTGATGGCATACCCGTGCATGTGTAGAGGCAGTCATCTCAAAACACTGTAATAACTGGAAAAGAGGGGTCTTGTCTTTCTTATACTGTCCCATAAAACCCTAACAAGAGAAATGTATCGACATAACAGGCAGAGAGGGAAAATGTTCTCTGCAGCTGACAAAAGAGTCCTAGGAAATACTCCTGTTCAAATGATTTTTAATTGATGCTAACTAGTTTTCACACTGTTTATTTAAAATTTGGCCACAAATGTGTATTAGCATGATTACTGGCTATCTTCCAATTTTAAACTGCAGACTTTTGAGCTAAATATATCAAAAAACACAGTTCCGTCTTCTTTTGCAGAAACTAAGAAGTTCTAGTTTGTTCAGGGTATCTTGAGCAGCTTTTCTCAGATTTTTAATAAACAGCAGAAATACATATTTCAACTGAAATTAGAGTTACAGAATTTCAAACCACAAATGCAAAGAGTTAAAATACAGATCTCAACCTCAATCACAGCAGGTCCTAAATACAAACTCTAGTGCTTGCTACTGGTTTCCCTGGCAGAGAGGAAATCAGTGTTCCAGCATCCAGCATCCCAAGGGTCAGACTTGTTGTCAACGGGAGCTGTAAGGCATATCAGGTGGAAAAATATTCCCTTCTTATTTCGCAAGACATATAGGAATGGCTCAGAGGTTTCAGGGTATTTACCAGTATAGTTATTAAATTAAAGGTACAGATTTTAGAGAGGCATATCAGGAAAAGATTGGTGAAAAGACTGATGAACAAATCCCTGATTCTCCAGCCTCTCATATGCGAAGACTTTAACCTCATGTAACTTCTTTACCTGCAGTGGAATTATTTCTGATACATTCTGATTGCATAGGACTCATATTCTAGGTTCTAATTTTATATGTATTTTTATATATATATATTAAGAGATGCTGAAGCAACTGATAAAATAATGTGTACTACCACATACATTAGTATTTGTCAGCATCATCAACTTCTACGTTCTTCCTTTTCCAAAATAAATCTGGAGCAATGTTTAAATATTTCTTTCTATTATGACTTGGAATCTGAGCAGTGGGTTTGAGAAGACCATCATTATTCTGATAAGATGTTACTACTAATAATTATCAATCTAACATTTAATTTATTAACGTATTGTGGGTGTCCTAAATCTGTAGCCATGGTCCAGGTGTTCATTATCAGAGTAACTATCAGGAGCAAGTAATAAAAAAGTCATCCCTGCCTAATGTACAGCATCTATCTAAAAATGCTGATTGCATCTGCAGGACATACCTGAAAATAAAAAGTCAATTTAAATAACAAATCACTGTGAGCACTAACACCAAATTCTGCCAGCTGTAGTGTAGTGAAACTCCCTTTGTCTTGAATTAGTGTTCAGGACGTGGAAAGGATGGTCAATAAAGGATTAAAAGAGAGTTGGTATACTAGCTAGGTAAAGCTGTAGCTTGTTTCACTGCAGTACAGGTTCCCTGCAAGGCTGCCTTCTGTCCATATGCCCATAAGCTTTGAGGTCTAGGTTTTTATTTTTAAGTTGCTCTGTAATTTGGGCCTAGAATATCTAATATATCACCCCATCACCCAAAGCTTAGGGTTTGTAGCTCAGGTAATCAAACACGCTGTTATTTGCTAGGAAGCAACCCTGAACCAGTTTAGTAGGTGGTGGCCTTGGCCACATTAGAATAAAAATGTAAAAAACCCTTCCAGCGATCTTGTCTCCCTTAATGCTTCAGTGTGGCAGAGCATGTCACCATGGTGCAGAGGGAAAAGATCCTGCCACACGTGGGAGACAGGGATGGCAACAAGGAGACTAACGCTGGGCTACATTGAAGGGTCTAACAGACACAGCCAGCTTACTGCTTAGGATTATTAACCTTTTGTACTGAATCAAATCTATCTACTCACATACAGATCTCACTAAAGCCAAGAAAAGATTTCAGAATGGGTTCAGCTATGAATTGATTTAAAGGTTTAAGAACTCTAAGTTCTGGGTTGCTCTGATTCCTGCTTGAAATGAATCTCCATTTAAAAACTGGTGATATTGATTTCCTGGCCCTACCATCAGTATGGACAACCACTTCTGATTGGTTAAAGAAGCCAGCTCCTGCTCCACTGCCAGCTCTGGCATCTCTCCTCCCATAGGGAATGCCTGCATTGCTTTCTATGCCTGCCTTGACCCCTATCTAATCCTGCCTCCTGAAATGAAATGGTGCACCACAAGACAACAGTGAAGGAATAGTGAGATTTATGTCTGGTCGCTTTTACTGTCTTCGTTCTAAACTAGCATTATCTACTAAAAGAAAGGTTTTTTTTAGAGGGACTTAACCTGGGGCTTCTTTTTAGGTTAGCGAGGGAAAGGACCACGCTAAATTCTTTCCAAAGCTGTATGTGACTGCCACCCAGTGGGTGCTCAAGTATAAGCAGCCGGCAGCTTTTGTATGAAACACCCGGCTATCAATTCAATAGAAGACACATAATGAAAAAGGAATTACTAGTTTCAAATAATATCTGAAAAAAAGATATTACATTATTTAATGAAAATTAAACAGAACCTCTGCACACACGGAGGTCGATGTCAGGAATTTGTATAAAATTACAGCTTTAAAATTATATTGAAGATTTTTCATTATAGCTCCTTTTCTTGAAAAACTCATTAATTTCGTTTGAGCTTAATATAAACACACAGCGCGGCTTTGAGCGTTACACAGATGAAAGTAGAAGGCAGTTGCTGGGGAACTTGCAGTTTCAGTTCTCGAGTCACGTCGCACCGAGGCAGACTGTCTTTATCTGAAGTTGCTGGGATTTAAGCAGCGGTTCAATAAAATGCTATTTCTTTTAAATTACTGTCCACTTAGATAATAAAAGTAATCTTGATGGGGCTGCTGAGATTAACAGACATATCAATCTGAGGGCAAACATAATGCCTACATTACAGTAGCAGTCTTGGATGAAAAATGTAAAAAGATATATGTGTATATATATACACACAAGATATATATACATACGCACACATTATACTCACCCTGTGGATGTTTCTACGTCTGTATCACTGCCAATCTAGACTCTGTGTGTGTACTGCTATAAAGGTGAGGTTTTCTTTATGCTGAAGACATTTCATAACAAGTCATTTCAGAATTATACAGAATAATAATGCTGTAAGGCTTAATCTTATACCATTTGAAGTCAATACAACTTTGCTATTGACTTCAGTAATAGCGGGATAAAGAAGGGGATGTGTTATCATCATGACCAATGTAGTATTTCTTTTCTGCTTTATGATGATGATTTATCGCTTATATCACGAATCTCCTCTAGTCCTGGACAAGGGCTTTTTGTGCTAACTGTAATAATACCGCATAACAAAAGGAAGGTTCCTGTGCAAAAATGCCTACAAAGTTAGAATAGACTGGGCATGAGACTCCAAGGAAATAACAGGATGATATGCAGGTGTTTACATGGAGTTCTCCCAGGCATGTTAGTAATGTAAGAGAAAGCAGAAAGCTGACTATGAAAATCAATAATATACATGGTTATTCCCCTGCTGAAAGGTTTGGGGAAAACTTACAAACTGTATTTTTAGTATCTGAAAATACATATTTTTTAATACAACAGAAAAGGAGCAGATTCAGGTAGCAACTGTGTAATTCCTGAGGCTGACCAAAGCCACTGTTACTGCAATTCAGCTCCTTCCTTAGTGTGGCACTAGTGCTTCACTCATCTTTTTCTGCCAAGTCAGGTCCTTGACCCAGGTTTGTGGGGATCAGATCAGAGTCAGAGCAGGGACAAGCCAGAGGCTGTAAATGAACAGTGGATCCACAGAAAAAGGCAGGACCATAAACCCAGCATGTTTTA